ACACAAGTTGAGAGAGGCTAAATTTTAGAACCTAGTATTACTCTCCGTATTTTATAAGTAGAATTGATAAGTATTAGATTTACTATTGGTAAGTTTTAGAATTACTGGTATTACTACTGGTATTTATTAGCAGTATGAATACTTAGAAGTGGGGGCACAAACAAACATACACACACACAACATACATACACATACACACATACACAAGAGTGGAGTAACAGTCCTCCCTCAACCACACAACTCCCCTACCCACCACTGGACATCCAGTCCCAAGCCCTCTCTCCCCCTCTCTCTCTCTCTCTCTACCTTTCTCTCTCTCCCTCTCTTTCCATCTTTCCCCTCCCTCTGCTCTATCTCTATCTCTTCCTTGCTATCTTCTCTCTCCACCTCTCGTTCTCTCTCTCCCCTCCTCACACACACTTTCCTTTCATCTTCCCTTCCCTCCCTTGGCCTCCCCTAACTCCCCTCCCTCCCCACTTATTATCCCTAGCCTTCTTCCCAGCATTCTCTCTCCCTCTCTATCCCTCTCTCTCTCCCTTCCTCTCTCTCACACACAAGCTCCTTTTGGTGGTAAAAAAAATGGTAACCCAAGAGGGCAGAGACCCAGGTGTCTGGAGGTCGAACCCAGGAGGGAGGAACCTGGGATGGAAGATTGGGAGATAGAGCTCACAAAAATGGAAGAAGAGTGGGGAAGGAAGCTAGCAGAGCTTGGCAGTGTAATGGAGGAGAGGATAGCTGAAGAGAGCAGGAAGTGGGGACTGCAAATCTTAGCAGCAGAAGATAAGATAAAGTGCTTAGAAAAAGGAGCTAAAAAACCTGAAACAGAATAAAGAGACAAATGACAGCACAGGAATGACATCAGGGACTTCTATACCAGTCACAGACGAGGGGGCTGTAGAGATTCAGGAAAAGACGAGTACAGGAAGACCAATCGTGAAGCCTGCAGTCAATGCAGGAGACAAGACTTATGCAGAGACTCTAACAGTCAACTACAGTGGCAGGGAACAGCTGAGCAGGGAAGACAGTCCACTGAGCATAGGGGCTGCAGCAAAGGCAGGGGTTGAAGGCAGGAACGTCTCGATGGAAAGAGATAAAACACCTCAGAGGAAGCAAAGAGAGACACAGTAGGAGGAGGAGAGGGAGAGGTCAGTGCTTGTCTACGGGCTCCAAGAAGTTGAAGGGGAAACCTATGATGAAAGAATCCAGGGGGAGAAGAAAGCATTCAAAGGTATCTTGAAAGCAAAAGGAGAGGGAGACATGACCCAGGTGGCAAATTTTCGGAGAATTGGGTGGTTTGCATGCAGAAGGAGACGGCCTGTCAAAGTAGTCTTCAAGGCAGAATCAGCTTGAACCAGGGTCCTGCAGGAGAAAGCATGACTGAGGGACAATTCAGAGTACCAGAGAGTGTACCTCAATTGCAACAGAACACAGGAGGAAAGGACAAGACTGAGAGAGAGTGTACAAAAACGAAAGGAGGAACAGGAGGCATTGATGAGGACGAGCAAAACCCAGACTCATGTGGAAGGACAAATACACCCTACAGAGACACCCACAGAAGGACTCCAACCACAACAACCCCAAAGCAACTGAACAACCTCAACCAAAACCTGCACACTGTTCCCTCTGCCCCACCCCCCACCACAAACCCCACCTCTACAGTAGCCCCTTTTGGGCACTCTGCCCCCACCTCCCCACCACAAACCCCACCTACACTGTGAAAACGTCAACGCAGCTGAACAATCTCAACTAACACCCACACACTGCTCCCTTTGCCCTCATCCCCCACATCACAAACCCCACTGCAACAGCAGCTCCCTACATGCACTCTGCCCTCACCCCCCCCCCACAAATCCCACCCACACAACAAACCCCCATAACCCCTCCAAGGGCTCCCACCTCCCCAACCCCAATATTCTCCCAGGTCCACCATGATAGACAAGAAGCTGAAGGTGTGGTACACAAAAGCAGATGGAATAGCAAATAAATACGAGGAATGTCACGAAAGAATCAACGAGAAGTCCCCGGACATCATAGCAGTCACAGAAACGAAACTCACTGAGACAATAACAGATGCAGTCTTCCCACCGGGATATCAGATCCTGAGGAAAGATAGAAGGAGCAGAGGGGGAGGAGGGGTTGCATTGCTAATAAAAAAAGATGAAGTTTCGAGGAAATGAAGGGCATGGACGAGATTGGAGAAAGGGACTAGATAGCAGGCACAATTCAATCTGGGAAGATATGATAGTCATTGCTGTGATGTATAACCCACCACAGAACTGCAGGAGGCCAAGAGAGGAATATGATGAGAACAACAGAGCGATGGTGGACACACTGGCTGAGGTGGCACGAAGAGCTCAAACGTGCAGAGCAAAGTTACTGGTTATGTGTAATTTCAACAACAAGGACTGGGAAAACCTGGAGCCTCATGGGGGTCCCAAAACATGGAGAGCCAAGATGATGGATGTGGTACTGGAAAACCTCATGCATCAACACATCAGGGACACTACCAGAGAGCGAGATGAGGATGAACCAGCAAGACTGGACCTTGTGTTCACCCTGAGTTGCTCAGACATTGATGACATCACATATGAGAGGCCCCTCGGAGCTAGTGACCACGTAGTCCTGAGTTTTGATTACATAGTAGAGTTACAGGTGGAGAGGGTAACAGAAGTCGAATGGGAAAAGTCAAACTAAAAAAGGGGGGCCTACACAGGTATGAGGAACTCCTGCGGGAGGTGCAGTGGGACAGAGAAATAGTAGGAAAGAGAGTAAATGAAACGATGGAGTATGTAACAACAAAATGCAAGGAGGCAGAGGAAAGGTTTGTTCCCAAGGGCAACAGAAACAATGGGAAGGCCAAAGCGAGTCCTTGGTTTACCCAAAGTTGCAGGGAGGCAAAAACTAAGTGCATTAAAGAATGGAAGAGGTATAGATGGCAAAAGACCCAGGAAAATAAGGAGATCAGTCGAAGAGCCAGAAACGAATATGCACAGATAAGGAGGGAGATCCAGTGACAGTACGAGAATGGCAGCATCGAAAGCCAAGTCTGACCCGAAACTGCTGTTTAGCCACATTAGGAGAAAGACGACAGTCAAAGACCAGGTGATCAGGCTGAGGAAAGAAGGTGGGGAGCTCACAAAAAACGATCAAGAGGTATGCGAGGAGCTCAACAGGAGATTTAAGGAAGTATTCACAGTGGAGACAGGAAAGACTCTGGGAAGACAGGACAGACGGGGACACCAACAGGGAATAGACCAACAGGTGTTGGACGATATGCACACAACTAGGGAGGAGGTGAGAAGCTGCTAAGTGACCTTGATACCTCAAAGGCAATGGGGCCGGACATCTCCCGTGAGTCCTCAGGGAGGGAGCAGATATACTGTGTGCCATTAACCACAATCTTCAACACATCCCTTGAAACTGGGCATCTACCTGAGGTATGGAAGACTGCAAATGTAGCTCCCATTTTTAAAAAACGAGACAGAAAAGAGGCATTAAATTACAGACCAGTGTCACTGACCTGTTTAGTATGCAAAGTCATGATTATCAGGAGGAGAGTGGTGGAGCACCTGGAACGGAACAAGATTATAAACAATAACCAGCACGGATTCATGGAAGGCAAATCCTGTGTCACAAACCTTCTGGAGTTCTATGACAAGGTTACAGAAGTGCGACAAGAGAGAGAGGAGTGGGTTGTTTGCAACTTCTTGAACTGCAAGAAGGCCTTCGACACAGTTCCTCACAAGCGACTAGTGCAGAAACTAGAGGATCAGGTGTGTATAACAGGAAGGGCACTGCAATGGATCAGAGAATACCTGACAGGGAGGTGCCCCTGTTCGCAGATGATGTGAAGCTAATGAGGAGAATTAAATCAGTTAAGGACCAGGCAGGACTTCAAAGAGACCTGGACAGGCTGGACACGTGGTCCAGCAACTGGCTTCTTGAATTCAACCCTGCCAAATGCAAAGTCATGAAGATCGGAGAAGGGCAAAGGAGACCGCAGACAGAGTATAGACTAGGTAGCCAAGCACTGCAAACCTCACTCAAGGAGAAAGATCTTGGGTTGACCATAACACCGAGCATGTCTCCGGAGGCACACATCAACCAGATAACTGCTGCAGCATTCGGGCGCCTGGCAAACCCGAGAATAGCGTTCCGATACCTTAGTAAGGAATCGTTCAAAACACTGTACACTGTGTACATCAGGCCCATGCTGGAGTATGCAGCACCAGTTTGGAACCCACACCTGGACAAACACTTCAAGAAATTAGAGAAAGTGCAAAGGTTTGCAACAAGGCTAGTTCCGGAGCTCAGGTATGTCCTACGAAGAAAGGTTGAGGGAAATCGGACTGACGACATTGGAGGACAGGTGGGTCAGGGGAGACATGATAACGACATACAAAATACTGCGGGGAATAGATAAGGTAGACAGAGACAGGTTGTTTCAGAGAGGGGACACAGAAACAAGAGGTCACAATTGGAAGCTGAAGAATCAGACGAGTCAGAGGGATGTTAGGAAGTATTTCTTCAGTCACAGAGTCATCAAGAAGTGGAATAGCCTAACAAGTGATGTAGTGGTGGCAGGAACCATACATAGCTTTAAGACGAGGCATGATAAAGCTCTGGAAGCAGAGAGAAAGAGGACCTAGTAGCGATCAGTGAAGAGGCGGGGCCAGGAGCTGAGTCTCGACCCCTGCAACCACAATTAGGTGAGTACAATTAGGTGAGTACATTAGGTGAGTACACACACACACACACACACACACACACACACACACACACACGTGCATACACACACAATATACAGGTGAGTTGTAGTCTTAATGACCCATATGTAGCCACAGTCCTTAAACACATTTCAGTTTACTGTTAAGACCTGTTATGCTACCTCAGCTCAACACTGTCACTCAGCTACGGCTTGTTGGAAATGTTTATGCTCGTATATATAAAGTAAAAACAACGATACACTAGAATAAACTGTCATCTGCTGTGGATATAACCTGGGAGGTGTGAGGGGAAAGCCATGATAGGCCAGGAGATGAGGATGGATATTGTCCCGGAGACCAGGAAGCCTATCCACCAGCCACCAAGCCACAGGTCACTGTTGGCACGCAGTCCAAGTCTGTAGGGAATCAATATTGGTTACGTTATTACATTGTGTAAATCATGTGGACTAATTATCGATTTTTATATACTTTATAATTTACAACAAATTATTTCTTCCTGTTATACCTCTAGTATATGAACAAGGATTTACTAGTCCTTCGTGTCCGGCATTCTAGTTGCCTTCTTGCTTAAACCAGAAGGATATTTTAACCTACGTCCTGATGGATTTTGATAGGAAACACGACATGGGCAAGAACTATTAAGAAATGCATTAGAAAAAGATAAGTTTGTGTATACACACAATCACATATATGCACATTGAGAGTAATTCAATATTACCTAGTTTCTTTCTCTAACTTGAGGTCTGTCAGATACACCTGATTTAACCCCAATTTACTCCTCCCTACCTATATTCTCCCACCTCTTTTTACCTTTGTAGTAATCGCTGTTAAATCATCCAACTTCTTTTCATTAATAAACATAAACAACTGTTTTTTTTTTTTACCTGTATTACATCCTAGAACATTAACACAACTTAATATCAGTTTCCCCTGTCTTCGATAATGATACAGCCTTTTGTTCCCGGCACTGAAGTGGCCATTTACTACGCTCATAGTTTGCCAAGGAAGAATTCTGAAGCGCTGCTCCATAAACTTTGACAGACACTACACATGATTGTGTTATTAAGAAACACCAACTAATACTCAGATGATTGTATATACACACATATGCATGCATATTCACATACACATAATGTATACTAGATGTAAGTTCGAATGTATACGTAATGTAAATGTAAGATTTACCTATCATGTAACGTGTACATGACACAGAGATAGCAGATCTTGTCTGACTGGCTGATAGTACATAAGAATTTAGGAAGGAATGTTGAGTATTAAACAGTAATAGCAGATAATATAATCCCAAAACACAGGACTCAAGAATAACTTAGTCCCGTGTGTCATCTTCTTGTTGCATCATATAATTTATACTTCGTTTGTGGGATCAAAATTTTGTTATGCTTCTTATGGTGTCGGTTAAACTATAACGTGGGTTAACTTGGTTTTAGATTCCCCTTTAACCAGAACAATAAACCAAGACATGGGTTACCACGGCCTTGGATTCATCTTCAACCACCACAGTGATGAAGAATTTTAAAAACATAAGAGAACATTTACAAGTATTAAAACTGATAAACGACAGTATGGAAATAGTTGGAAGAAGATTTTCAAATACACAATTACTAAATTGTAAATCATTAAAAAATTAAGATTTTTGTACAACAGAATTATATAATGAATATTTTAAATGTACATTAAATAAAGATTGAGGCAAACAAATACATAATGAGATCGACACCATGCCTAACCCGAGCCTTTAGCTCATAAGACTGTCATTCCCATTTGCTCCCTTGGGGCGGGGATGGCAGACCAGAGAGGCCTAGCTTGTGGCTAGGCCTGGTGACAGTTGGTCCCAAAGATGAAGAGGTACTTGTGCCTCCTCCCATGGGAGACTTAGGTCTCAGACACTCCCTAAAGAGGGAGCCAAGGCTGGGCCACCACTTGGAAAAGGCCCGGGCCGGGAGAATACCGGCTAATCTTTAATAATAAAATAATACATAATAATGTGAAATTTTAATTTTCAGTGTATCAATAATTATTTATAATAAAATTAATTTGTTTACATTATTTTCAAATACACAATTACTAAATAGTAAATCATTAAAAAAATTAAGATTTTTGTACAACAGAATTATATAATGAATATTTTAAATGCGCATTAAATAAAGACTGAGACAAACAATTAACATAATGAATAGGCATAAATGAATAAATTAATATATATATATATATATATATATATATATATATATATATATATATATATATATATATATATATATATATATATATATATATATATATATATATATATATATATGCAGAACAACCACTCTGAAAGAATAGAGAAATTCCAAGCGCTTTCGTGACTACTCACATTATCAAGGAACTATGAAAGTAAAGCATCCAAGGAAGCTATATAAGGGGTCTAGCCGGCACCTCACTATCAGATCCCACAACGGTTTAAACACCTGACGCGCGCCGACCCAACTTGGATAGGTCCTTGGCACAACTCACCCCACAAACTATTCTACCCAAGAAATAAGAAATTTTATCGATTATTTGTCCAGTGTATTATTAAATTCTTCCCAAATTCTATTAATTATAAATGGATCTAATTTATATAAACCAAAGGAAATATTCATATTATTGTCAAAACTCTTACCATGAAAACTTGGTTGATATGCCTTCTCTTCTTAAGACTTTTAATATTAAAATTGTATTAAAAAATCTTGATACAGTAAAAAAACTTTTGATAAAGAATTCCCCCCAAAATGCTGATGGATGTGTCTATAAGATTCCTTGTAAAATTTGCGATAAAGTTTATTACGGTCAAACTGGTAAAAATCTCGAACTAAGATTAAAACAACATAAATATAGCATTAGAACTGGACAAGATTCCAATGCTCTATTTATTCATGTAAGAGATTTTAACCATCCAATTGATTTTCAAAAAGTTGAGAAAGTAGTATCAAGCAAGTCCATGGTCGACAGGAATATAATTGAATCTTGTTTCATAAAAAGCAGTTTTGACAATAATATGAATATTTCCTTTGGTTTATATAAATTAGATCCATTTATAATTAATAGAATTTGGGAAGAATTTAATAATACACTGGACAAATGAGAGTAAGACACATGTGCAACATCTGGGTATCTTTATTGTAGACGTTTCGCCATCCAGTGGCTTTATCAATACAAATTCTAGGACATAACTTGAAGACAGTAGAACTATGTACAGAAGATGAGGTAATCAGTCCCTCAACCTAGGAGTAGGTGCGAACAGCACCTACACAACTGGACAAATAATCGATAAAATTTCTTATTTCTTGGGTAGAATAGTTTGTGGGGTGAGTTGTGCCAAGGACCTATCCAAGTTGGGTCGGCGCGCGTCAGGTGTTTAAACCGTTGTGGGATCTGATAGTGAGGTGCCGGCCAGACCCCTTATATAGCTTCCTTGGATGCTTTACTTTCATAGTTCCTTGATAATGTGAGTAGTCACGAAAGCGCTTGGAATTTCTCTATTCTTTCAGAGTGGTTGTTCTGCATATTCTGAAATCACCTGTTTACTGTGATCTTATTGCATTTTATATATATATATTATATATATATATATATATATATATATATATATATATATATTATATATATATATATATATATATAATATATATATGTCGTGCCGAATATGTAAAACTGGTCAATTAGCAAGAACTCATTTAAAATTAAGTCCTTTCTGAAATTTTCTCTTATACGTTTAAAGATATATTTTTTCATTAATGTTAATGTAAAAAAAAAAATTAATTTTGCACAAAAAGAATCTTAGAAAACTTTCCTAACCTTATTATAAAAAGAGCAATTTATTTTAGCCTAACCCAACTAAATAAATTTTAAATTTGTTTACAATAATTTAATACTAAACAAACCCAGTGAAATATATTTTTTTCGTTAGGTTCAGAATGATTTTGGAGACATTATTGCATACACAAATTTTCACTTGTCCTATATGGCAAGATGAGCGTTGCTATTTAAACCAACGACATATAAAATATATATTTATAATATATATATATATATATATATATATATATATATATATATATATATATATATATATATATATATATATATGTGTGTGTGTGTGTGTGTGTGTGTGTGTGTGTGTGTGTGTGTTGTGTGTGTGTGTGTGTGTGTGTGTGTGTGTGTGTGTATCATTGTACCCACGAACTAATGGTACTGATCAATAACAACACTGCGACTAGCGAGGGAGTCTAATCTATGCTGCTTTGGCCCACCTCATGGTGAGCTAAAACACAAGACAATCTAGTAGCGGGTTCTAACCCCACCCATGTTATGGTTTGTTTGCAATCGTGCCATTACGATTTCGTGAGTCATGTTGACGGCTTTGAGGGGACTTCAGCTAGAGTTCGTCACGGCCTCGATAGCGGGAGATTCGTCTGTAAAAGTTGCATTTGTGGTCACAGTGGTGCCTATGCTAACCTTCCTCTGGTGTATAAATATACCTAGTTAGATGAATCTTGTTGTGGCTAAAGCGTCGATTTGGAGTTTCATGACTCTCTAATCGCGGGTTCTAACCCCACCCGTGGTATGGTTTGGTAACTTGTCATTGGACACTTCTTAAAGTATAAACTGGATAGCCGGTTCTGCTGAGTTGAGCCTTACCCGAAGATTCCGCACATCGAAACGTTTGAGAGTTATGAGGACTTCGTGCACATAACGTAACCAGGTGACGCTGGTGGGGATCATATGATGTTGGCGAAGCGTTCAGCTTCCAGATGTTCCATATACAAGTTGGCTAAGACGGCGCTGATGGGGAACCCCATTCCGATATCATGTTGTTGAAAGAAAGGCCGTTGAAATTAATGCAGTGTTCAATCAGGTGAATAAAATCTCCGGAGGTAGAGGAAGATTAAGGTCCTGATTGACTTTACGTCCTAGAACGTCAATGGCTTGTGTGGTGGGTATCTTAGTGATGAGGGAAGTAACATCCAAACTACTCAGTTTCTTGTTTCAGATGGATAGGTCTCTGATGCGGTTGAGAAGGTCGCCTGAATGCGGGACTGACGGTCCCCAGAAGGCACGATACATGTTTAGCAAGAACTCCAACTAATTTATGTGGTGCACTGCCTATACCTGATGAGATCGGTCTCACAGGAATATTATGTTTATGGGTCTTAGGTAGTTTATACATGTGTGCATGTTTAGGGTTGCTCGGTATCAAGTGCAGAAGGTTTTTCCCTTCACTGGTGCGTCTGAGTTTTTGTCGTTTTTTTTTTTTTAAGGAAGTCCTTGGTGAGTGTCTCCCACTGTTATGTGCTGATGGGCTCGTATGTAGACTGGTCGTTCAAAAGGCCCATCATTTTGATGCTATAGTCGCTGGTACTGAGTATGACTACTCCATCTCCTTCATCGGCTGTGGTGACGATAATATTTGGGTCACTTAAGGGCAGTTATATACCGTCTAAGAAGATTTGTAGAAGGTTCACATATAGCTGCGGTGAGAACGCGTTGTATATAACCTTTCTGAAATTACTGTCACTGTGTCTGTGGTTTTTGGTGAGTAAATCCAATTGTTAGTTTGGTTTGCGTGGGTTAGTGGTAAATTTAAGTCCAAGACTCAGTAGTTGTTACTCGTAGTCAGTTAAGGTGCGTGACGATAGGTTGTTTATCATGGATTCTCGGCCCATTTCCTTCCATCGGCTGTTAGTGCAGAGGTTTTGAAGTTTGCGACTGAGCTAAGGTTCTGCTGGAGATTGGCTGTGGCGACTGTGCTGAGAATGTGCTCAGCAGTGCAGTGGTCAATGAACACATTAATGCATGTAGGAATGATAGCTTCAACAACGCCTGCTTAAAATACAGGAATTCCGCTAATCACCTGACGAAATTCAACGACACCCGACTAGTGATTAAAGAACCCAATTTCCTAAGATATAAATGCCTTGATTCATCAATCGATATTTCTAACACAATTAATCGCTGTTTCTAACATAACTTCATCATCTTAGAATTATTAGAAAGAGTCGTCATAAGAATAAACCTTACAATCACACAGCTGCTGCTACTACTACTACTAATATTTCTGCTACGATTATATTATGACTGCCACCTCACTATAATACCTATATATACCCTCTGTGTCTATGTATTGTTTGTAACGGCTTGGTAAAGCTCCTGGAGAGCGAAACGTTGCCACAATAAAATGTCACATTAGTTGCATTTGTGTCCTTTTACCGAGCATATTGTCGGTAATTCTACCAAGAGTAATACGCTTTCCACCTGCGGGAGGTATATCAGTGGTGTATGACTTGTTTCTGCATTTGTTTACTGAATATGTCACTGAAGGTATATGGATAAGTAAATTAATAAAGAGGTACCAGGTAAGAGAGAGCATTCACAACATACCTGGTTGGGTCGACAGATGGAGCATCAATGTACACTTTGAGGAACTGACCTCCCAAGAGGTAGCCGAGGGCAGGTCCCAGGACAGCCATGGCGTAGAAGATTCCTGTATCAAGACAACCAACCAATGTTTACTGGAAGCCATCTACAGTGTAAAAATCCCACGATTCTCTGTTATAGAATTGATAATGAATGAATTTGTCAGTACCTTGGCTGGAATAATATGTAAATAAGTAACAAATTGTAGATGGAAACCGGATAGACCAAAATATTGTCTATTATTAACAATGAAAAGATCTATAAAATAAAACTGGATCTATTTGGCCAGTCATTCGCTATTATTTACCCTTAATTTAAATTGGGGATGGATCCTCGAGAAAGGTAGTCATACGCACCTAGATACATAGAGGACATCTTGACTGGAACAGACTCGTCCAGGTAGGTGATGCCCAGGGTGTAGAGCGGCGTGGCTCCCACACCATGTAGGAACTGACCCAACACAAAGATGTGACGGAACGATGACAACCAGTTCTCCACCGCCACACCGCAGTGAGTCTCCCGGGTGCCCTGACAACCATCAATCACATGTTAGCTAGCAAATTACATGAGTACTGACGACCAATCCAACCACCCCCCTTTTATATATTACTATGGCTGAGGATTTAATCCAGCCATGTAAAAAAGTTTTCCTTCAGCGTGAAGTTGGTCAAGAAGTGGAATGACAAGGACGAAATACTGGAAACATGATGCATATATAGCTTTAAGAATAGGTATGATATAATTTATAAGGTCAGAAAAAGGTAAACCCAGCAAGTGGCAAGATAAGCGGGAGAGCAATGAGCCGAGACTCAACCTCTGAAATTACAAATAGGTTTGTGTAAATAGGAGAGTACGTACACACACACACACACACACACACACACACACACACACACACACACACACACACACACACAGGCAGACACTCACCTCACGCAAACAAAAGAGAATGGAGGTAAAATCACTGCTGCTGGGGTTGTAGGCAGGAGAGCCGAAGTGCGGGAGGGTAAAGACGAAGGAGCCTAGGCCTAAAATGAACACTCCCCAGCCCAACCAGCGAGGCTTAGAGCTGCCTGGCCGTGATCCCAGGTACGAGACAGGTACTGAACACAACACTGATGCCATGTCATACGCTCCAGCTATCAAACCTGAAAAATGTAATACTTCGGTAAATTGAATATTATTATTTTTAATACTAATTTTAATTATTATTATTATTATTATTATTATTATAAGGAGCACTAAATCATTAGATATCACACAAAGCATATCATTATATCATAACATAATAGAATTAATCACTCGTCTTTACTCTCACTTCTTCAAATAGAAATCTTACAGAATTTCTGGGATCTGTCGCGTTAAACCTGCCACTGGGAAGCTACGGATGTTTCATAGATCATTGCCAGAACGTTCGTCTCACAACCAAAAGGCCACTAGTTCGAACCTTAAACCAACAGAGATTCAAGGGCAAGTCGCCTTAACGCTTTTTCACCTAGAGTATTATATGAGTTGAATCCTGGTAAGAGGTTCTACAGACCAGGTAGGAAAGAAGCCACACTGCCTGGCTCTCTTGAATTATCGAGATTATTAAAGTTTTGAGGTTTATAACCCAAAGGCAGTCTTCTTCTTGATAAATGAGACACTTGTGCAACATTTGGGTATTTGGGAACGTTTCGCCAGTCAGTGGCTTCTTCAACAATACAAAGCAGAACGGTTTGTGGCTTGCCAGGAATGGAGGTATACGAGATTTCTTCTGATACAGATTATGAACACACAATAGAACCTGATAAACAGTGAGCTTTTTGCATACCTTCCCGCACGCCACACTTAATAATTTGCTCAGCTCACAAGTGATAAGTAAGGTCAGTTAACTAGTTAGCCACGTCAACTATGTAGTTGACGTCTTGCCAGAGATTTGTGAGAGAGGACTGAAGCTTAAGTCGTGCACTACAGTTTGATGAAATAGTCGTCTAAAGATGATCCGAAGCTATGATGAGGCACTTTCACAGCATGAGAACATGATCCCTCATGAACTGATCGAGCTTCTCAAGCCCTTAAAGACCAACTAATTTTGCCCAGGTTCAGAACCAGGTCACTACACAAAAAAATTTACCATGTATTAAGGGACTCTCAACAGTCACTTAATACTTTCAAGAGAAATTCAACTGTGTGTTGTAAACACCGTAGCGGCTTCTGTGGAGAAGGTGCTATGGATGGAAGCTCGTGTGGGCTTCCTGTGAAGAAGCAGTTTACAAAGATTTAGAATTGGCCAACATTCCTAGCAACTCTGTTAAGGCTAAGGCCTGTACCTCGTCTGTCACAACTGTACTGACCAAACGCTCCGAGGTATTTAAACTCACGGACAGCGGCCCAGTCAACTACCCAGCGCAGGAATAACAAACACCTGGATTTTATGCTAAGCAGACTCAAACGGCCCACTACAATTCTGGCAGCAACAAACAACTAATTTCCCAAGCATGATAGTTTTTGAGCAAAAAAAACTAATTTCCCAGTCATGACGAGTTTAGGCCACCTTCTTCTCTTTGAGTAACGCCCTTCACCAGAAAGATTTGCGACAATCAAAACGAACAATTCAAGCAAACTCTAAATAGAAAATAAAATTATTTTTTAAGTAATATAAAAAAATTTAAAGTTTTTTAAAATTTGACAAACAGAAGTTAAACTATTTTATTGAAGGTATTTAACTAGTGTTATTAAAGAGTATTTAACTAGTGTTTTGAAGAGTATTAACTGTTTTGGTTGAAGAGTAGTTAATAGTGTTTTGAAAGTGTTAATAGTGTTAATGAAGAGTATTAACAAGTTTATTTGAAGAGTATTTTAAATAGTGTTATTGAAGAGTAGTTAATATGTTATTGAAGAGTAGTTAACTTGTTATTGAAGAGAGTTAACTATGCTATTGAAGGTATTTTAACTATGTTATTAAAGAGCAGTTAAAGTGTTATTAAGAGTAGTTAACTATTTCTATTGAAGAGTATTTTAACTAGTGTTATTGAAAGTAGTTAATTGTTTTTGAAGAGTAGTTAACTGTGTTTTTGAAGAGTATTTAAACTAGGTTTTTGAAGATAGTTAATAGTTTTATTGAAGAGTAGCTAACTGTGTTATTGAAGATTTTTAAAACTAGTGTTATTGAAGAGTAGTTAACTAGTGTTATTGAAGAGTAGTTAACTAGTGTTATTGAAGAGTAGTTAACTAGTGTTATTGAAGAGTAGTTAACTAGTGTTATTGAAGAGTAGTTAACTAGTGTTATTGAAGAGAAGTTAACTAGTGTTATTGAAGAGTAGTTAACTAGTGTTATTGAAGAGTAGTTAACTAGTGCTATTGAAGAGTAGTTAACTAGTGTTATTGAAGAGTAGTTAACTAGTGTTATTGAAGAGTAGTTAACTGTGCTATTGAAGGTGTTAATGTGTTAGTGAAGGTATTAACTAGTGTTAGTGAAGAGTAGATAGTTGAAAGTAGTTAACTGGTTATTGCGAGTAGTTAAAGTGTTATTAAGAGTATTAACTAGTGTTTTGAGAGTGTTAACTAGTGTTATTAAAGAGTATTTAACTAGGGTATAAAGGTAGTTAATAGTGTTATTTAAGAGTAGTTACTTTGTTTTTGAAGAGTATTAACTGTGTTATGAAAAATAGTTAACTAGTGTTGTAAAGAGTAGATAACTTGAAGAGAGTTAACTATTTTTTTGTGAGTAGTTAACGGTTATTGAAGAGTATTAACTGTGTTATTGAAGAGTAGTTAACTAGTGTTTTGAAGAGTGTTAAAGTTTATGAAGTATTTAACTAGTGTTATTGAAAGTAGTTAACTGTGTTATTAAAGAGAAGTTAACTAGTGTTTTTGAAGAGGTTTAAAACTAGTGTTTTTTGAAGAGTAGTTAACTAGTGTTTTTGAAGAGTAGTTAACTAGTTTTTTGAAGAGTAGTTAAACTATGTTATTGAAGAGTATTTAATAGTTTATTGAAGAGTGTTAACTGTGTTTTTTGAAGGTAGCTAACTGGTTATTGAAGAGTATTTTACTGTGTTATTGAAGAGTGTTAACTTGAATATTAACTAGTGTTATTGAAGGTAGTTAACTAGTGTTTTTTTAAAGAGTATTTAAACTAGTGTTATTGAGGGGTTTTTAACTAGTTTTTTTGAAAGTAGTTAACTATGGTTATTGAAGATATTAACTATGTTATTGAAGAGTAGTTACTAGTGTTATTGAAAGTATTTAACTATTTTATTGAAGAGTAGTTAACTAGTGTTATTGAAGAGTAGTTAACTAGTGTTATTGAAGAGTAGTTAACTAGTGTTATTGAAGAGTAGTTAACTAGTGTTATTGAAGAGTAGTTAACTAGTGTTATTGAAGAGTAGTTAACTATGTTATTGAAGGTATTTAATAGTTTTTTGAAGTTTTTTAACTATGTATTAAAGAGTATTTTAACTGGGGTTTTTTGAAAAGTATTAACTGGTTATTGAAATGTAAACTGTTTTATTGAAGGTAGTTAACTAGTGTTACTGAAGGTGTTAACAGGGTTATTGAAGAGTATTTAACAGTGTTACTGAAAGTAGTTAACTAGTGCTTTTTAAGAGTATTAATTAAAAGAGTATTAAAAAAATGTTATTGAGAAATTTTAGTTTTGAATGAGTTAATAGTGTTAGAAGGTGTTAATATGTTATTGAGGGTTATTAACTAGTGTTATGAAATAGTTAATTGGTTCTAAAGAGTTTTAAAACTGTCTTGAAGAGTAGTTAACTTGAAGAGTAGTTAAAAGTTTTGAAGAATATTTAACTTGAATAGTAGTTAACTAGGTATGAAAGTATTTAATAGGTTATTGACGATAGTTAATATGTTATTGAAGGGAGTTAACATGTTTTTAAAGAGTAGTTAACTAGTGTATTGAAGAGTAGTTAACTTGAGATGTTAACAAATTTTTTGAAGAATATTAACTTGAATAGTGTTAACTAGTTTTATTGAAGGTAGTTAACAAGTTGACTACGTTTGAAGACGAGTTGACTAGCTTATTGAAGAGGTTTGACTAGCGTTATTAAAGACGATTTACTAGCGTATAAAGACGAGTTGCTAGCGTTATTAAAGACGGTTGACTCGTTATTGAAGACGAGTTGACTAGCGTTAATGAAGACGATTACTACGTTATTGAAGACAGTTGACTAGCGTTTTTGAAGCGATTTTGACTACGTTACTGAAGACGAGTACTAGGTTATTAAAGACGGTTTGACTAGCGTTATTAAAAGCGGTTGACTAGCGTTATTGAACAGGTTGTGAATTTTTGCCGAATTGTTGAAAGTAGGTATCAAACTACACAGTACTGTAAGTGTTGTAAGTCAGTACTTCACAGCTGTACAGTTTTTTAATTGGGAGTGTACGTTGATTGTGTGAGTTTTTGTATGTGTGATGTGTGTCTCAGTGTGTGTGTCGGGTGTGGTGTATTTCTGTGGAGGTTTTTTTTTTCCTGAATTTATGAAAAACTAACCCCAAGTGTATGAGTAATTTTAACGAGTGTATTAAAAAACTTACCGCATGATAATAACTTACACAGTGTTTAAAACTTCCCGATGTTAAAAACTTACACGAGTTGTATTAATAACTTCCCCGCAATAATAAATTCACGAGTGTTTAAAAAATTCCCCCGCATGTAAATAACTTACACGGTGTATTAAAATTTACATGAGGTATAACAACTTACTCAATTTAAAATAATTTACCCCCCAATGTAAAAATTAACCCCCGAGTGTAAATACCTGAAGTAACTGGAAAGAGTTCCGGGGGCACGCTCCCGCGGCCCTTTCTGTGACCGGGCCTCAGGTGGTCGGGCCCCTGATAAACCAGGCTGTTACTGCGGGCCGCACGTAATAAAAACGACAAACCCAAACCCCCGGCTAGTCAGGTACGACTTAGGTACTTGCCCCAGCGCCTGTACTTAAAGACTCGAGTGATGAATAATTTCCTAAATGTATGAAAAAATTTCCAAGTTATAAACTTACCCGAATCGTGATCGCAGATCAAATTCTTCCATGGTAGTAAGCAGAATTAACAAACCTTAACGACCATTCGGGGAAACAACAACCTCACTATTCACGCTAATTTCCCCGCAGGATAAAAATGGGTCTAAAAAACGTTCTGTGTAAAA